AACTCCACTCGCCGTGTTTGGAGGAAGAAGGATGAGAACAACCCCAAGAACCCCATCCCAACCGTGAAGCATGGAGGTGGAAACATCATTCTTTGGGAATGCTTTTCTTCAAAGGGGACAGGGCGACTGCACCATATTGAGGGGAGGATGACCGGGGCCATGTATTGCGACATTTTGGCCAACAACCTCCTTCCCTCAGTAAGAGCATTGAAGATGGGTCATGGCTGGGTCTTCTGGCTTGGCAACGACCTGAAACACACAGGCAGGGCAATTAACGAGCGTGTCCATAAGAAGCATCTCAAGATCCTGGAGTGAACTAGCCAGACTCCATACCAGAACCCAATTGAAAATCTTTGGAGGGAGCTGAAAGTCCGTATTGCCCAGCGACAGCCCCGACACCTGAAGGATCTGGAGAAAGGTCTGTATGGAGGAGTGGGCCAAAATCCCTCCTGCAGTGTGTGCAAACCTGGTCAAGAACTACAGGAAACCTATGAACTCTGCAATTGCAAACAAAGGTTTCTGTACCAAATATTAAGGTCTGCTTTTCTGATGTCATGCAATAAAATGCAAAGGAATTACTTAAAAATCATACAATGTGATTTTATGGAGTTTTGTTTTAGATTCCGTCGTCACTCACATTTCAAATTACAGACTTCTACATGCTTTGTAAGTGGAAAAAGCTGTAAAATCGGCAGCTTGTCAAATACTTGTTCTCCCCTCTGTATATGCAGCCTGGTCTCATTGTTAATACGTAGGTATTTTACGTTTTTTGCAAAGATAGAAAACGTACTTTTCAGTACGTTTGGATAGGTGCTGAAACGTATAATATAGACGTATCTGCAACATTTAAACGTAACATTATTACGTTTTTACAGCTACAAAACGTAAACTATTTACGTATATTCTATATCATAAAGATATCTGTATAATTTCCCTTTTTATCATTTTATACATAAATGTAAGATCCCGTAACCCTAATCCCAAACCTAAACATACCCATTTTATACTTAATATAAAAAAGGATAAAACGTAACGGACAGGTGTTGGGAAAGGGTAGTTTTATTAACAATATAACATTAAAATATATTTTGAGCCACCAATCCTACCCCTAAACCTAACGTTACCCATAACAATTCCTTAAAACTACGTAACAAACTACAATTATTAAGAAAAACATAACTAACAGACAAGTATAATCACAATAATTTATTTATTGCAAAAATGTCGAAAACCGATACCAAAAGCCGTTCACATGATGAAGCGTTGCAGTCGCAGTCTTCTCTCTGTCTCTGGCAGTATTGTAATAGTTTTGTATAAAGTACAGAGCAGAAATTAAATAATGAAAATGTTAATCCGGCTTCGGTTCGCGCTTCTCCATTTCAAAATTCAAATGAACTAAACTAACCAATCGGCACAGTCCTTCATGTCGCAAACTGTGACGAAGCAGGGAAGAGCCAATGAACGTTTGATATCACTGCCGTAAAACATGACGTATCGCTTCTCAAGGGCGCAATTTTTGAATTTGAATTCATCAGCGCGGGGTTTGACATGTACGGTCGCTGCTGAGAATGGAGAGATCACGACTGGATAAGAGGCTGAATTAGGAGTTGTTTCTTACAAACAACTATGGATTCTAAAGATTTGGATTACATCAAACTAATCAAATTGATGTCTTTTGTGATTTTTTTGTTGTGTTTTATAGGAGAAAACGCTTTATGTGTCTCAAGGTAAATAAACTATTACAAAATGGTTGAACGAGTAGCTAACGTTAAAGACTGTATTTTTAAGGTTTTATAGTGTATTGTTTAACAACATGCAGGCGAAACGAGCAAAATGTTCATATTTATGAGTATTATATCAATAAATGCGACTGAAAACTTCATTAATAAGACAGTGGAATGCAACAGAGTCAAAACATAATGCTGCTACGATATTAATATGCATAAATTGTGATACGTACAATGTGTACGTCGGTGGATTTGTTCATACGTAAATAAATTACGTTTTTGTGCTGTCAATACGTAAATATTTTACGTTTTAGTACTGTAAATACGTCAGTATTATACGTTTCTGCGCATATAAAACGTAATTATATATACGTATGATAGAACGACACTTTACGTATAAATACATACGTATTCTCATGAGATCACGTTGGTATATGTATATTTAGGCTCTAAATAATTTTTTTGAAACATAATATGTTACTCTGATTGTCAGGGAGCATGTGATGTAAAAGAACCACTGAATTGCTTTTTGAAACCGGTTCTTTGATTCCCGGAAATGAGCCAGGCTTCCAGCACTCACTTCAGTTGTGGTGGGATTGTTTATTATGTTACATCTACGGTCCTGTTAAATAGCTCCCCTTTTATATCACAAATGTCTCAAAATGGCACATGATCTCTTCCACACTATATAACTTAAATTGTTTAATTAGCACTCCCTTATCAAACCGTTTTTGTTTTGTGTCCTCTATTTTTCTCTTTTTATTGAGTCAATATGTTGTGAGGGTTCAGTGTCAGGACCAGACACTGAACCCTGAATCAGACCGCCAGTGGTTTAATGCAGAAAAGGTCAGGTTTGAAGAGATGATCAGATGCAGAGACAGCTTGCTCTTTTCGCTTTGAAGATTTCTTGGATTGTTTTGAATCCTTTTGGTCGTGAATCTCGACGTGGTGTTTTCTCTCAGGAATTGAATCAATAAAGATCAATGTGGGAATGTTTGGTGGCCTGTCATGATGTACAGAATTCAGTTTAGGCCCACTAGATCCTGCTGCTGCTGCTGCAGTTGAATCATTACCGTTTAGTCTGACTGCATTTAGAGAATCAATATTTGCTGGAGAGATGCTGTTCCTTCTTGCCGATTGTCTACAGAGATGCAGCTACAACATATGAGAATTGCAGCTTGAGAAATCACAGCTTCAGACTGTAGATTTCAGGTTAGTTTCGCTTTGATTTTGAGATAAAATTCCTATCTTCACATATTCAATTATTAAATTGGAGATGGTTGGGTATGTAACAGCCATAATTTGAATCGATTAAGCATTTATTGCAAATAAGTGCCTCTTAGACCATCATTCTGTTCAGATTTTTCAGTGGGAGAGTTGCTCAGCACAGACATTTACTGTCAAGCAGACCTGTATAGTTTAGTTTTGACAGTGCCGTTTATCTGCACGGACCATGAGAATGACAAGAGATGGACAGGAACAGAGATGAAGAGATGGACAAGAGGATTTCTTTTCTCTATTAGAGGCTTGGCTTGTATGACTGAGTGAAGCAGTGCTCTTACTATTTTATGGCTGCCGGTCTGAGAGGTTGAAATGCTGGCCTGTTTATCACACTGGAGTATTTCTGAATTCTCAGCTTCATTCACACTCACATTGCCCATATGGAAGTGTGTGTTCACGAGTGCTTGCTCATGTGTTTGCTTGTGTACAGTGGAATCAGTTTCTTGCTGTCTATATGCACACACCAAAAGATTAAAAAGTGTGAATCAGCAAACCATAGAAAAAAGCGATCTGAAGTGATCTGCTATTAATGATATGTAAAAAAATATTTTACTATATTTGAAGAGTTCAGATGCAAAAGCCTCTAAATGCCGTTTGAAATTTTCTTCTAGAATGATAATTTTTATCAAGCTTGTATATTTAAGTTCAGTGATTTCACTTAAATGGCAATGATAATGACCTATTAATTGTTATTTAAGTGAAATTACTGAACTTAAATATACAAGTTTGATAAAAATCATCATTAAAGAAGAAAATTTGGCATTTAGAGGCTTTTGCATCTGAACTCTTCATATGACTTTGTATGTGTTTATTTTTAAACAAACAGAGAATACTTTCTATATGTCATTGTGATTAAATTCAAAATATTGAATATAAGATCAGTGAAAATGTTGCTAAAAATAATCAAAGCATGGTTTTCATTTACAATTAGCATATGACAATTTACTAAAACTTTCCGTTGTGTTGCGGGCGGCTTTATTTCGTTGTGTTGTGGCTTATTTCCATTGTGTTGCGGCTTTATTTTGTTGTGTTGTGGCTTATTTCCGTTGTGTTGTGGCTAGGGGTGTAACAATATATCGTGCACCAATATATCGCAATAGAAAAATGCAACAATGTGTATCGTACATAGTGTCAATATCTATCGGGGATAGTCCCCCCAGAATAAAAATTACTGAGAAAAAAAGTTTTAGTGTAATACATTAAACCACTATATGAAGAGTTCAGATGCAAAAGCCTCTAAGTGCCATTTGAAATTTTCTTCTAAAATTATCATTTTTATCAAGCTTGTATATTTAAGTTCAGTAATTTCACTTAAATGGCAATGAAGATTACCTATTAATTGTCATTTAAGTGAAATTACTGAACTTAAATACACAAGCTTGATAAAAAATGGTCATTCTAGAACAAAATTTCAAATGGCACTTAGAGGCTTTTGCATCTGACCTCTTCATATATAATGTTGATTATAATGTATAACAATGCAATGGGGAATATTTGTAGGTCCTGATAATGCCAAATGTCTGATGTTACCAATAAAAAGTGGCCGACATTATTTTAAATATATCTTGTCAGTGAAAGAATGCAAGCATATTCATCTACAATAATTCTTTATTTTCAGCTTCAGAATCATGAATATTGTTATTCTGGTGTCACCATTCTCCATGGGTTACAAGCACAGAGTCCAAGCCTATTCATTTAAACCCGCAATGTAATATCAACCTTTTACCATATGTCCTGGAGTATCGCAAAATATCGTATCATGAGTTCAGTATCGTGATATGTATCGAATCGTGACATGAGGGTATTGTTACACCCCTAGTTGCGGCTTTATTTCGTTGTGTTGTAGCTTATTTCCATTGTGTTGCGGCTTTATTTCGTTGTGTTACTACTGGGCCACCGTAAATAATAGACAAAGACTGTTTCAACTGATTCACAGAAATGAATCAGATTATACCTGCATGCTTAACCCTAACACTAGATAATACATAGGCTGCGTCCGAAATCGCGTACTTCCATACTATATAGTATGCGAAAAACAGTACGCGAGCAGAGTAGTATGTCCGAATTCATAGAATTCGAAAAACAGTAGGCGAGAAGTACCCGGATGGCCTACTACTTCCGGCGAGATTCTGAAGTGCGCATACGATGGACACTTTACTATCCCATGATGCCACGGGAGAGGAGGAGTTGTCGTTATATTTGAAAATGCCGGAAACCGGAGACGCGGGAGTTTTCCACTGTATATGGAGTTTTCAAGTGTAAGTACTATATTAAACACTTTTTGTTTATTTGTGGTGAAATTGTGTTTGTTTAACATCAATCATATAAGTAAACGATTGACTTGTTAAACGTTTAAATAATGTAAATCGCGGGTGCAATTTTCTGATTTGGCTGCAAAATGACACTTTTGTCTTTGCCATTATTACCGAACTGAACGAGCTAATGCATGTCAGCTAACGTTAGATAACTTTGTTTTCTTTGTTTCGCGATGCTTGATGAGATGCTTACACAACTTTTATTTATTTTTATTTTAAAACGATTAGGAAAATCAGGTGGAAATTAGCACTTAAGTGCTACAACCTGCAAATGCATCTCTCCTTTTTAAGGTTAATGTATATTTTGCATTGCCCTTGTTTAAAAATTAATGAATTAAATTAAATTTTATTTTATTTCTCCTTTACTGGTGTTGTTATTATGAAATATTTGTTGCCTGCATAGCAAACTACTGTTAACAAGTGTACCTCAACTTGTCAATGTAACATAGACTTATCATAGTTTATCACATGTTAAATCCTGTGTTGATTTTGGAGGGGCAAAATGATAAGATTAAGAATATTTAGGATTCATATTCATAACCATGACATAATGACACCTTTATAATCATGACATGACGCATTAATATTAAGGTGGTTTTATGCATGTATAACAGCTGTCACTAAATGTTATTTGCTCAATTATGGTATTTTTAATGCAAATATGACAGTTTGAGATGTCTTTGTCATGACAACTTGACATAAACCAATAGGCCTACATCATAACCTGTCAGTGTCAAGTGTGTCTCACTCAAACAATGTCATATTTGTAATTTTGCATAAAAAAATTAATAATTGAGCGAATGACACTTAATGACAGTTGTCATAAACCCTCCTTCACAGTAATGATATGTGTCATGTCAGTCTTATGCACACCCCTTCAAGTAAAGTGTTACCATTCTTTTTTTAAATTATTTTAATAGTTCACCCCAAAATGAGAATTCTGTCATGCAATGATTTAACAAATTATGTTTTACAAGCAAATTACAGTTATATCTGAAAAATATATTGTCTGACTATGAATGCTGCACTGTAGAGAAATAGCCACACACTTCAGACACCTTTAACATTTATTTGCTTTATTTTTGTGTATTAACTTTTAAATGGATGCAGAATACAAAGCTTAAAACAAAATCACATAACTTTGGCATAAAGTAGTATAATAGAGCTTAAAGCACTACCAAAAGGAAAAGTATTAAAACATTTTTATTATGGTGTCACCATGAGGAAAGACAATGAACTTTAGCAGCTTTAGTAAGGTAACTTTCACAGGTTTCTAAAAAGATCTAAAGGGACTTTGATAATAGCAATCTCATTTGGAGGGCATCACTAAAATTATTCAATATGTTTTGTTTTTTTCAAGGCATGTTTACAAGACGAGGCAAGGATACCCACCATCTCCAAGGATGCACTATCCTGCAGATGGAAACAGGCGGCCAGTGCACACAGGGCTGTTCTTCAGCACCCGGGCATCGTGCACCGACCCAAGATACCCAACAAAAATGTCGAGGAACTTCCCCTTGTGGTCAGTGATGGCCTGCAGCTGAAAATAATTAAACAGCTTTCTGGTTGAAGTAGCACTGGACGTCACTTGCTAGTGGTTTGATGCGGATGTGACAGCCATTTATTGCACCAGCTACTACACTGACAGCTGGAGACCCTGCCAGCTGGGTAAAACCTGCTCCCACTGCCTCCTGGTCATCTGCACTGGGGAAAGCGATAACCTGTCTCAAAGTGCCGATGACTGCCTTGCTCATTCTGTGCATAATGTCGTGCACAGCAGACTACGGGATGTCATAGACGAGTGACACTACCCGGTATGATGCTGCATGGGCCAGCCAGTAAAGGAACACCAGCACCTCGACGTCCTTTTCCCACCCATGGTTGCAATCTGCTTTCACTACAGCAATCAGGGACTGGATGGACTGCCGTGAAAGTCGGGAGGCTGCTGTGCCAATTCTTCGGCTGCACTTTGAAGATGGAGCTGACCTCCACCCCGGTCCGCTCCTCCACCCCGGCCGAAGGATTGGCACAGCAGCATTCACGTGGCAGTAGGTTGTAGGGCTCACAATCTGTAAACATTTATATAGTTTTAATATAAAATACAATTTGAATCAACAAGACACTTGTTTTCTGTGTTTGCTTATTTATAAATATAAATGTATTAGATCCCATTTCTTATGCGTGATGTATTTGAATATGTCTGTGTGTGTGTGTGTGTATATATATATATATACTTATATATGATAATATAAAAGCTTTATAAAAACTAATTCTTGACGAAAATGTAAGATGTCACTTTAAATCTGAAGTCAAATGTGTGTGTGTGTGTGTGTGTGTGTGTATATATATATATAAAACATTATATTTGACTTCAGATGTGGTGGTTTAAATGAATTATAATTTTAACGGGCTTGTATATTTGTGTTTAGTTATTTCACTGTAATGGCAATGAAAAAAACCTATTGCCATAAAATATAACATTCATTATATATATATATATATATATATATATATATATATATATATATTTGACTTCAGATGTAAATTGACATCTTAAATTTTGTTCTAGAATTATAGTTTTTATCAAGCTTGTATGATGATATATACACACACACACAGAGACAAGCAGGCACACCGCTTGTGCTATTATTACCATCAATGAATGAATCAATAGAGGCAACAGGTACACACATGCTTACATATGTATAAATAGGTAGGTAAATAAATGCTACTTACGTTATTTGAGAAAATCCGCAAAAGCTCTCGATGAAGGCATGATCTACGACCAGCTGGAAAAACGCAGATGAAAACAAAGCAAAACAGCGCGAAGGTGGGCTCTTTAAATTTCCGCGCTGTTATGACAGCGGCAGCGCATGACACGTGACATTTCCAACATGTCGCATGTAGTACGTCCGGAATTCATCCATACTACCCGTATTCATACTATATAGAACGTACTTTTTTAACGGTCGCGGAGTACGTTCTTTTTTAAATGTAGTACCTACTCACATAGTACGCGATTTCGGACGCAGCCATACTCTTTATGTATGTGTATGTCAGGGTGGCACATTTTCAGAAAAGGCAGAGATGTATTGTGTTGGAGAGAGTGTTGTGAAGTATAATTATATTTGAGTTATTAAATATGCGTGTGTCAAAGCTTTGTTTTAATACTTATCTATGAAAGCAGCATTAGTGGGAGAGAGGGCAGTGTGTGGGCTTTGTGTGTGTAGGTTATTACTGTGCACTACTGTGTGTGTGTGCGTGTGTCAGTGGCTGTGTGTTGTGTGCTTTATCTGGAGGTGGTTGCTTAGTGCATACGGCGGACCACACTCAAAACACCAAAATCCCACACAAGCAGCCTATTTTATGTGTTTATATAAAGCGTGTTCCTCAGGGGTCTTTTGCTTTATAGCTCAACGACCTGTTTTTGCAAAGGGAAACTTAGTATGCCACCAAAGTGCTGAGCTGGTATTTCTAGTTACATGCTGACTGTAAGTGACCACTAGAGCACAGACACACTTATTAAAGGGATAGTTCACCCAAAAAATTTAAAATGATTTACTCACCTTCAAGCCATAGATGTACATGAGATTCTTCTTTCAGATGAATACAATTGGAGTTATATTAAAAAATGTCCTGGCTAATCCAAGCTTTATAATGCCAGTGAATGGGAGCCCAACATTTGAAGCCCAAAAAAGTGCATCCAACCCTTATAAAAGTAATCCACACAGCTCCTCCTGGGGGTTAATAAAGACGCGTTTGTTTAATACAAATATGCTCTGCTTTATTTAAAAGATGGTTTTGGGTACATTTTTTATTCACATGATAGTGGCAGAAGTCAATGATCAAATGATAATTAGAAGATTGACCGGATAAACACATTTTCTGCATTGTAAAGAGCATAAAAACATTAATCTGTCAGGATGCAGTCCCAGCAATATTATGCAAGATCACTTTTGTCCACAATCAAGCAATGAGAGGGTGATTTTGTGCCTCTGTCCGATTTGCATAATTCTGTTAGTCAATCGGGTGCTAAAACAATGCAGACAGGGCAAACAAATAAGCATTATCGGCAGGTGCTCTTCACTCAAGCCTTTATTTGGAGAACACACAAACCACACCGAGACCAGCATTTTTGCTATTTTTCCATGCTGCTTTTTCTGTGTGTAGGCATGGATGTTTTTGACCTACCAAAACTATGTGTGTTACTAGAGCACATCTTAACAGACAGAACTAGTGCAGATGCCCTATATGTCTTAAAATATCTCTTCTTCTACTTCCCTCATTTACCCCATCAAGTAACACTTACACTGTTTTTTTTTCTAACTTGATAAATTTAGTATGCTTTCAATGGCCTGAATGCCATTTTCTCTTTCCATCAGTCCCCTTTTTCAATTTGTTTGTTTTGCTTCTTTCTCTGTTTTGTCCCAGTTTTCTCTTTTTTCCCATGTTTTCAAACGTTCCCAGTCTTGCTGTAAGTTGCTCTCAGCATGCATGAGAAAGAGCTCGGAGAAATGCAAGTCTGTCTGTCTGTGTATTTGCATGTGTAAGAAATCTGTTGCCTCTCCATCCATCTAATGCTGTTGTTTTCAGATTGTGTGTGAACAGAAATGGAATAAATCTATGTTTGTTATTGCTAAGATTTTTAAATGTGCGTTTTTTTGTTCCATCATTACAAAAGTTTTAAACGTAAATTAAGACATTGAAAATGTGCTGTGATAGGCTCAAACATCACCACAAACCTATAAAACTAGCAGTTTGGAACATGGATGGATGTTTAACATGATACATGGGGGCTGCCATGTTGAGATCATTTGAATACTACTCGGTCTTTTGGTCTCGATAACTGGAAAGTGTTATTGGACATTTTCAATCACTGAATAATTTAATCAGGGCTGAGAGTGTCATTGATAAGAAAAAGTTTGTGTTTGCATGATTCTGCAGCCGCACCATTTGGTGTCTGAGACGGCTGCCATGTTGGCTTGAGTAATAAAGTGCACCCTCCTCAAAGGTATGCAGATTATACATTGGATGTCTTATTTACTCATGTAAGGTACATTGGAAATGCCCTAAACAACATTCCTGCAAACAGCACACAAGCTCCACACAGACTCTTTATTGATTACTTGTATTAGTGTAGTTTAATGTGACTGAGAAGACAAGGGAAAGGCAACAGATGGGAGGGAGCTCGAGGGAGCAAGCAAGCAATACTAAAACAGTTTTTTTTCCCCCTGCACACTAGCCCTCAGAATGACAAAATGATACAGTGCTTGAATTGTCATTCAGCTCTGAGCTGGATGACTAATGGCCTCTTTCGTTCGCTCACTCCCTGATGATTGCTTATGCATACACTCCTCTTTGCAATCATCTTGCAAGTAAAACTAAAGATTAGAGAATTAGGAAAAAGATTAGGAAACAAAAAAACAAAATCTGCAGATTTCTTCTCATGATCCACCTTTCCTGCCCAGGTCAGTTTGAGCAGGTTCTCCCATAATCATACCTGACGTGAATGACAGGACAATGCTTTATGTGCTAAAGAGGATTTAGTGCATGTCATTGTGGATTGAAATGAATGAGTGTTATTCGAATGATGTGAGATGGATTTTGAATGACTCATGCTTAAGTTTGCTGTTCGTAACATTCATAAAAGTTCTTATGAATGAGCTGGTTGTTGGTTGCTACCATTCAGAAGTTTGGGCTCAGTTAGATTATTTTCTTTTAGAAGAAATGAATACTCTTGTCTACAACAGGTTAATAATACTTATAAAACGTACTTAATACTCTTTTAAACAAATTTGTCTTCTTCAAATCAGCATATTTTTATCATGTGACAATGGCTGCTGAAAATTCAGCTTCACTATCACAGGAATAAATATACTAAAATAAAAATAATATTTTATAATATTACTGGTTTTACTGTAATTTTTAACAAATAATAAATGCAGCCTATAAATGTAAATAATAAATGTAGCCTTGGTGAGAATAAAGGCAATCCTAAAAAAAAAAAAAAAATTCCTGCTGATATAGACAGTTATTTTACACATAGGTGCAGAAAACACATGCTAGTTGACCGTCACCTATAGTCCTTTTGGTGTGTTTAAGTGCAGATTGTTGGCCTGTGCCTTATAGAGTCCCCCTGTAGTCAAAAATTGTATTTCTTAAAACTCATCTTTGATCATTCATCAAAATGAAATGCCTTAAACCAACACCAAGTAACTGTTCCTCTGTGTTCGCCCTACAGGTTGGAAGTGGAATTGTCCATTACTGCTGTCGTAAATAATTTAGCCTACCGCATCCTACTGTCACCTGCTGCTCTCAGTTTATCTGGCACCGGCTTTGGAATCATGATGACAATTCAAAAGCTACCCGGCTGCTAGGTATCTTACATGTAGTTTACACGTTGAGTAGTTATCGTCAATTGTAGCGCTTGCCGTAAAGCAAGTCAAATTTGTAGTTTTCTTATGTCTCATTCGGACTACAGAAACGGGACCCGATCTGGCAATCTTACATAGCGTGGATATATCAGATAAAGGACCGCAAAACAGTGGCATATGTGCATTTCACCATGTCACGACTTGATGAACCACTATAACCATTTTGAAAACCTTATTTTAAGGTAAAAAAATCTTACTTAGTGTTGCTTTAAAGTAGATTGAATGTAACTCAAGTCAACACCCTTACCTTGTTTAGGATATGCAGTTCTATGAATATAGAAATTAGCCCCGTCTCCTCCACGCACTCACACCAGCGATTTTAAACTGCATTTTTGAGACTGTCTTTGGTTCACTGCAGTTTTAAGGAGAAAATATAGCTGCGAGCAGCGATGGCGGGCCCAAGCCGGTGGCACCGCAACCCCGGTTCCTTTAGTTACCTAAAGGCACCCGGGTAGCGGTGCCGAAGGCTTTGGCCCTTTTATGATTAAATGTTAAAACGGCTTGCCATAATCTGTCATTTCGACTAGTCACAATTATGTTACAGATGTCTTAAATGATAATACAAACTATCCAAAATGTAATTACGAATAGACAGAAAGACGTTGTTGATATCTACAATGTTAATTCCGGACAGGCAAACTTAGCTTTTAAATGTTAAAAGGGCTTGCCATACAGGGACGTAGGCTCAGAGAGAGGCTCACCATATTCAAACCAAAATATCTGACTTCCTCTTGGTCCGAGCTAATGACTATGTATTAGAAAGTTGTCCGGCTTGAGGAGTACAATGTATATACCGATTTTTGTAACTGTAGATAAAACTAACAACCCCACTTTTGTCAAAAGGTGGCGCTATTTAGTCCTTGCACATTGCCCGTTTCTGAAACTTTGCACATGTCTACTGGCTAATAAATGTGATGTATCTGTTGAGTTTCAAGCAATTTCAATTTCAATTTGACTGTTGAAAAGAAGTGCGCCGATTAGATACTCAGGATCGGTATCGGCTCTGACACTGCCATCTTTGACGAGGCTGATTCAAATTCTATATTGTGCATATACTATTCTGTTAGGCACAAAGGCACAAAAACTTTCTAAAGTACCATAAAGTTTTTGTGTACTGTATTATTAGTGTTCTGAAGCTATTATGTGATATAGAAATTAATATTTAAGTCATTAAATTCAAGAACACAAACTTTTCCCTCTCTGCGCCTGTCAGTCATTCTCCATTCAGCATTCAAACAGCACGTCACATTCGGTTACAGTCAATGATGAAACGATCTTCAATGATTCAATGTTAATCCTATTATACTGGATCTTTAAGATAAAGGTCTAAAGGTCTATATTTTCGAATGAAGAAACTTTTTCTTGCTGGACTTTATTGCTGTAACTTAATCGTGTTACTTTCTACCGGGTGTCGGACGCTGTCGGTTAGATCACAACACTAGAGTCAGAGCACTATAATTGTTCTTCACGCACACAGTAACTGAAATTTAAAACCTTTAAAAGAAAAGGCTCAATAAACTATTGCATAGATAGATAATGTATAATACACTGTTCATAAATATGTATTTCCTTTGTACTTTGAACTTTTCAATACGGACTCAAT